GGTGAATTAGGCAAGAGAAGGGAAAGCTGCTGGTAATGGGATGTTGGGCCAATATCAGACACCATGGGGCAGCAAAAACATCAACGAAAGACATAAGTCAATATCAAACTTTATACTAACCACTAACATAGTTAGGTATATGCAATAGAGGTAACGTGCCAACATTCACAAATAGGGTCAAGGAAGAGATAAGAGATTTGGCATTGGCCACAAACTCCGGAGGTAATAAGGTAGAAAATTGGAGGGTATCTCTCGAACAATCTTCCTCTGATCTCAAAAGTATACACTTCAAAATCAATCGCGAACTCCCAAAGGCTAAATGATTCAGAAATCCTCGAAAGACATACTGGAAAAAAATCTCGCTTCTCATGGAAGAAGAAAAGAATCTGGTAATGCATGAAGGAGTCGGGATCATTGAAAGATGTCTTGAAAATAAGGAAAACACATACATCCATGGAGCACCTAAAGGTAGAACCAGCCACCATACAATGGACAAAGAAAATGCTGAAAAGCAGAATCATAACTATACCATAGGGAAAAGAACAACCAGAGGGACTCTTCAATCTTGGACGGACAGAGGGCGCAATGAAGACGTGCTAAAGAGAATGTCAAAATATCTTGAAATTATGTTTAGGTACGCTCAAAAAGCAAAAATTAGATTACCTACTTCCGACACATACTCAGGAATCACAAATACCTACCTACTTCTCAAGCTCATAATCGAGGGGAAAATCGAAGGCAAAAGAGTCTCTGGACGCCGAAGAATATCTTGGCTAAAGATAATTTGCGTCACTGATATGGCGAAACCACGCCAAGTCTATTCAGAAAGCAGTCGACAAAGTACAGCTGAGGATCCAACGTTCGTAGAGGACAAGGTAGTTGAAAAAAAATTGTCCAAGCATTTTTTGGTCCGAGACATTATTTATCCGTTCTGATAACTGCTAGACCGACCAATAAATAGTCAGTTCACTAATGCCTCTATTACTACCAAAACGATGAGAACAAAGGAAACAACCACAACACAGGTTAAATATTGGCCGATTACTTAGAGATGAAGACATCAAAAAAATATGATCCCATCGATATTGAGCAGCACTGGCCAATGCTTATAACACTTTCTGCTATGCTGTCAGCCTGTCAAAAATTAACGGACTTTGTCACAAATAAACTTTTGTTTGTTTTCACTAGATCTTTTAAAAATGATACTGTTTTCTACTTTATTGATGATTAATTTATTTAACTAGGAAAAACTCGATAAATTACTTCCGACAATCTTTTTCTTTCATGACATACCTAACATAATGACAAAACTGGTACAAAACCATTTATTTATAAGATACTTCTAAATATCTATACCTATACAAAGACCTTCATACAACTACGTTCAATATAGTTATTTGTATACCAAGGCTGCGAAATGCCTTTTTAGCGTACGTAGAGAAAAGTTATCGCCGAGGCCGCTTGCGGCCGAGGCAAGATAATCTCGTGGACGCTAAAAAGTTTCGCGGTCATGCTGTACACACTATTTTTTGTGCAACTATAAAAATTATGTGAAGTTACAGAAAATGTGTCCAAGATAAGGAGGGCCAGTATGGGGATCTGATGATATGGTAGCCCAAAGACGAAACGTCGGACTAAAAATTTGATAATGCCATATTGTAGAGAAGGAAAAGTGGCAACGAAGAAGTGCCATTTATTTTGAAATATCTCTTCAAATAAGGTCAGGAAAAAATAAAATCCTTCTGGTCGAATTTCGTGTTTTCCCGGATATCTCCGGTATCACTCGGAATTTTTAAAATATCAGAGCGGTATTTTAATGAGCATAAAATTGTCCAACTTTTTCCTAATTTAAGCAACGTCGTATCTTTCACTGTTTCCGAGATCCCCATACTGGCCCTCCTTATCTTGGACACATTATTGTATATACCGTCTGAAGGAGTTCAGCCTAACTACTCTACGTGACAGTACAGGGGGCCAGAGGAGATCTAATTCTATTTACAATTTATATATATTTCTTAAGTAATTACTACTCTGTCAACTTGAATATACAGGGCATACCATTTAGAACGAAACAGGCTAAATATCTGATGCCAATTTTATTTTTTTAAAAATCGCTTGTCCACGTAATTTGATTCTGTGAGTGTTTTATAACATTTTCAGCACTAACTCAACCCTCTAGGAGGGAGGAACAACCCTTACCATTCCAAATGGAACAGGGGGTCGAGTGATACCTGTTTTAAAAGAGTTTTCAACTTTCTTTCAAATGACATCAAATGAAAGAGAATTGAACGCTCTCTTAAAAGAGGTATCATTTGACCCCTTGTTCCATTTGAAATAGTAAGGGTTGGTCCCAGCCCGCCTAGGGGTTAAAGTTGAAGTGTTAGAAATATTTGCAAAAAACTTCCCCCTTTGAAAATCAAATTACGTCTACGAGCGATTTTTTAAAAAATATTCGTGGCATTAGATATTTAGCCTGTTTCGTTTTAAATCGTACGCCCTGTATATGTAATGTGTCCAAGATAAGGAGGGTCAGCATGGGGATCCCAGAAACGGTAAGAGATACGACGTCGCTTAGATTAAAAAAAAAAATCGGGATTTTGTGCTCATTTAAATGGCGCTTTGAAAATTCCGAGTGCTGCCAGAGAATCCGGAGATATCCGGAAAAAAAACGAAATTTTGCAAAATGCGATTTTATGTTTTTCTGAGCTTATTTCAGGAGATATTTCAAAATAAGTGTTACTTCATCATACCAATTTTTTCTACTCTACAAGGTGACATTTTCAAATTTGAAATCTGATGTTTCGTCCTTTATTTTGGCCACCAACATCAACTTCAATTTCCCAAATACGGCCCTTGATTTTCTATTTCAGATTTTAAGAGCTTCTGATGTCCCAGAACCGATGACGTACGTATCGCATTTATTTGAAGCTCATAAAATCTAAATTAGAAAATAAGGGTCCGTATTCAAAAAAATGAAGTTGATTATAGAAGTTCAAAAGCGAAACGTTAGATTTCAAATTCAATAACTGCATCTTGCGTAGAGGGGAAAAATGGCAACGATGAAGTGCCATTTATTTTGAAATATCTCTTCAAATAAGGTCAGGAAAAATAAAATCATTCAGTTTTTTCCGGTAGCACTCGAAATTTTTGAAATATCAAAAAGCCACTTTTTTTAAATTTAGGCGACGTCGTATCTCTTACCGTTTACAAGATCCGCATAATGGCCCTCCTTATCTTAGACACATTGTATATACTCTGAGCGACATCACAACCTTCGAGGGCACTCTAGAAAATTAGAGAAAGAAAAAAGTTCTAAATTTCTCAGAAGAAACTTCTTGTGGAATAGAGTGGTCTATGCGTAGAGCGTGGAATTTGCTAACAGTCATAGCTACCAGTACCAACTCGTTGAAAAAACAAATCTGAACTTACGTTACAGCAGCTCCATCGGTTCTAGCGCTTCTTGTTGTTTAAATATTAATAATGATATAAATAATCTTTAATTAACCTTTCTCACCATAAGGCGTGCCTTATTTTTACCTTCTTCATTTTCATTTAATACTTTGGAAAGAAAAATCCACTTTGTGGTTAATATCTGCTCCTTTTGGTTTCTTTACTTTAGTTCATATTTTATTTTTCTCTATAGATTATATTTCTTTTTCTAATATTTTCTTCTTATCTTTTCTAAAGATTATTTTTTTCTTCATTTTCTGGTACTTCTTCTACATGAGACACAGCTTAAAATGCCTTGTACATTTCATAATCATCATATTTTAGAGATATTTCAGTCAATCTTTTATTTCTCTTACTTAAATTTAATGACTCAGAATCAATTATCTCTCTATTTCTTCTATATTATCTTTGTAGATTAGTACTTCCATGTTGCTTTATAGTAAAATCAGATATAGCTACTTTTTCTTTTCTACTACGCTTGGTAACTTTGACTTTACCACATCAAACGTTAAATCATCTGGATCCATGTTCTCTTAAACTATTATTACCGTCTCGAAACTTTCTGGCATTCCCAGTAACAAACTGCAAAGTATATCTTTGTCTTACATATCAGCACCTGTGGCCTTTATTTGTTTTATGGTGTCTTCAAATTATTTTAAATATAATTCTAAATTTTTTATTTCACTCAATTTATATCGTAACTGTGTATAAACAATGTAGGTAGAATAGATATATGATTTACATCTTTGATCTCGTTTCTTCGTTTCTTGCAATTTCTTTTCTTAGGTAAGTATAATCTGCAGCTTTAATTTTTTTTATATTGATTCCTTTGCATCTTTTTCCTCTAGTTATATCTCCATTCTAAACGTACCTACCTATTTCCACTTGAGAAATATTCAAAGTATATCCTGTTCACAATCCGATGTCCACAGGTGCAGGTACATTTATCACCTTTCCCTATCAAATAGCATTGAAAGGTGATAAATTTTACCGGTACCAGTGGACATCGGATTGTGAACGAATAATAATATGTCTGATTTTAAGAAAAAGGTAAAGCTCATTTTTTTAAACGAGCTGATGCGATGGTTTGAATTTGGATGAATTTTATGATAACAATAATGTGTGTTATGAATTTAACGTAGGTAGGTATTCTGTGATTTCATTGATTAATTTCTACTCTCTATGGTTATTTTATTTGTTTTAACTTCTGTTTAAACAAAAATTAAGTTACGTTTTTATTAAAAATGTTTAAAAAAAATTGAGTCTGTAACATTTATGTATGAATTTTTGTTGACAAAATGTAGAAAGTTGTTTAAAAAATCTTGCATAATGTATAGAAGGTCCAAATAGAGCAGAGGGACCTTGGAAATAAAACTTTCCTCCAATAATACTTGTGCTCTAACTCTACAACTAAAGGATGTCATGCGTGAACATTTTGGAGTGCTTTGAGAGGATGTTTTTATTTTTGGAAAAAGATTAACTTACTAATCCATCAAAATTTTTTCAAATTCTTATTTAAAAAAATTAAAAATTTTACTTGCTTAACTTACCTTTCGCATCTTTCGTGATCAGCCAACTTCTTAATTGGAAAACTAATGAAATAATTAAATATCGATCGATAATTTCTTAGAAAAATTAATATTTAACCAATACGTTATTTCAGAAAAAAAAAAAAAAAATCTTTGAACGAATTCAAATTCCCGCGTCAATTTTAGTCTTGCCGGAAATGCGAGCTTGAGCGGTTCAGCGTCGGCTATGGCGTCCCGACGGCAACTGTGGTATATCGTCGACGTCGGGACGCCTGGTTTAGGCGCTCGCATCAAAACTGAGGCCGCACGCATCACGTATAACAACCGGCCCCTATTTTTTCAAAACCCACAAAACAAAACCTAAAACCACCCAGCGAACTGCTGATAGGTTTTCAAATTGGATTGATAGGTCCCTATAGTTTCTGATGGCTGTTTTGAGGATTGTTTTTGTTTTTTTTTGCCTGGCGAAAACTGGGGATTGTTTTGTGAAAAATTCAATGTATGGAAGAAATATATACAAGATAAATTGTAATATAGGAACCTATTGTAAATAGTGATAGTTTATAACATCAGTCTTAGAATAAGAATATCAAATTAGAAATATTTTATGAAGAAAATATTTATTATGACAATAAGTTTTTTTATTGAAAAACAACCTTGTATGTACAGGGTGAGGGTGTCACACCGGGAGCCAAATCGATCTATACAGTCAATCTTGAGTAGAAACCAAAAATTACATAATAAGGTTAAAATAAGCAAGTTGACAACTACTTCCGGTATAACCGGGAAAGCCACCCATCTTGAAAATATTTCAGCCGGGTTGCTACCATTGACATTACTATATGTATATACTGTCAAATTTACAAAAAATTTTCAGTATACAGTTTTTCATATATAGATCGATTTGGTTCCCGGTGGGACACCCTGTATATGAAAGAAAGCATTTAATGGTAAGAACAATTTTGGATATGTTTAATGCCTGTATCTCCACTCCTATTGCATCTAATTTCCGATTTGTTCAAAAAATGTGGTTTTAATATTTAGCGAGTCAGCCATCGCTGGCGACAGCTGATACCAGGCCCTGGGATTGAACTGGAACGGACACAGATGTCGTCCATGCCATGCCAGTTTGTAGAATAAGAAAATCTTTTTAGAATAATACATATTAAGGGCCGTTACGCCAGACGGCACTGTCGCTACTTCTTTCTCTGACTTGCAATATTAGTTTTTCCCAGGGAAAGAGTATATTATAAAAAGGGTTTACTGCTAGTGAAATTACTTTTTGATTTTGGCCAAGACTTTCGGGACGTCGAAGACAATCAGATTGTCATAATATTTCTTTCAGGAACAAAAATTGAAAACCATAACTAAATTTTAAAAAAGCATCTAGGTATCTTTATTTTCCCAACATTACTTAATGGCATTATCGGTCCAGCAACATCAAAATGTATGATTTTTATTAATTTTTAATAATCTCTGGCTTTTTTTTGATACCATAAAGGAATCAACAACCTTCACAGTAATCAATTATTTTACCTTGTCAATACCTTCAACCATATTATTGCCAACTGATGTGAACTTGGCAGCTAAAAGTTAATAGCTAAAAGTCAGCAACGCAAAAACTTTTTTTCGATGAATCGCAATTATTAGTTTTACCTCCTTAAACCACCCTCAAAGTGTTTTGCAAGTAAAGTGAGGTTCCCTAAACGCTGTATATTGCTACTGCCTATAACTTCCAGTACCATTTGTACCCGAGACTAAGGTGAAATTGTCCATATTTTTACAAAAACCTTTTTTTCGATGAATCGCAATTATTAGGTTTACCCCCTTAAATTACCCTAAAAGTTATTTGCAAGTCTTTTTAGGTACCCTTGGTACTGTCCATAACTTCCAGTACCATTTGTACCCGAGACTATGGTGGAAATGTCGATATTTTCCCAAAAATCCTTTTTTTTTGACGAATCGCAATTATTAGGTTTACCCTCAAAGTTATTTGCAAGTCTTTTTAGGTAGGGGAAATATGCCTATGATGAACCCCTTAAGGAAATATCATTACATCTTTTTTAGTTTTGGACTTATTAATTTTTTTATGTGAGAATATACATACCTATACCTACCTAGCTCGAAGTTTATTATAGTATAGGAAGATTTTTCTGCCAAATAATTTCCTGTTTAATAGCATAGCTATTCTTAAAAAACTAGTCGAGGGGTCCATCATTGGCACACATGTGCCCATATCAGACCCCTTTGAAATAAATGAATAAAATCGTTTTTTAAAGTTTCATTAGACAAAATATAGAACAAACTATTATAACATTAGGTTCAGAGCTCACAAATAAAAGACTTGCATTGGAAGGAAACACCAGCGCACTCATTATGGCACCACGAGTTACATTTTTGACAACGAATCCACTTTTCTCTTGCACGCTAGAGCGAGACTAACTCATTGCAGTAAAGGCAACTAGCATCATCATCTGAGTCATCTTGTCCCTTTTTCAAAAATTTCTCCAAGGCGGATTCATCTTCGTCAGAACTGTCATTTTTAATGACAAGTTGCCGTTTTACTGTCCTGGCTTGTTGCTTTCTTATCTTTGTTTCCTTTTCTATAACTTTCTCTTTAAGTTCATGAATTTCTGGTGTTGAATTCAAATGGCCAATTTTTCCCCGTCTTCTGCCTTTTTTTATCAGCACCAATTGCTACATCAGCTTGAGGGGGAGGAAAAATTTCTTTCACAGAAATGTCGAGAACTGACGATGAAGACATGTTAAGACCAGATGTGGATGGGTTTTGAATGTCTAATTCCATTTGCTTCTCGATGATATCTCCTTGAGCCTCGGGAATCTGCTTATCCGTTGCTAAAGCTGGTGCAAACTGCCAGTCCTCAAAGACATATGGATTGAAATGATGGATGCCAGTCTTTTCGAACGCATTTATTTATTGCATTTTATTGGTACATCGCACTCTTCAAATAAGTTTGATTGAGAAGACCTGCTATTTTGAATTGAGTCACTACCTTTCCCGGGTTTTGACGAAGCCATAATTGAATTTTTTGATCAAAATACGTATGACGAGGACGGAAGAATCCCAGGTCCAATGGTTGAACGTGATGTGAACAATGTGCAGGGAAGCAGAACACAATAACACCATTTTCTTTCGCAAACTGGAGAGATTCGAGACTCTTATGGCTACGGTGCCCATTGTGATGATTTCTAATTCAAATAATAAACAGGTTCATAATTACTGATTCCGTTTATTCAACAACAGCCACCCATTCTAACCCCACATCCCTGTCCCTTGTCTCCGGACACTGCCTTCTGTCAACTCTATTCCTAAACCTAACCTACTCATAGGCAACCACATAAACAATACACGTATTCTCATGACATCTCCTTTCTTTTCTTTTTTTTTTTTTTTAATATTTTTTTTTTTTATTTTTTTTTTTATTTTTTTTTTTTTTTTATTTTTTTTTTTATTATTTTTTTTTTTTTTTTATCTAAGTGAACATAAGTGTTTTAATTCGTGAAAACTTGTAAAAATGGTACAAATTCTAATCCACATATTCTGACAAATATTGAGGCTTACGAATGAGTCTACCAGACCTCGAAAGAGTATAGTAGCATCACTTTCTAGCTTGAATGAAGCTTGAGAATTTCTCTGACCATTATCTTTATAGTGTGGTGACAGTGATGAACTCTTTCGAGGTGTGACTTCCTTAGTCCCAACATCCTCCAGAGACTGAAATTCAATTGGTTGATTTACACTAGCACTACTACCTAATTCTTTTTGAAAGTCTTCCTGAGGTGATGCCTTGTATATGTTAAAGCGATTCCGTTCCAAAATATTACCAGTGGGCATCTGTATTTTGTATGATCTCGGATTTTCACTCTCACGGACAATTTTAGCTGGTGTCATTTTGTAAACATTATCGTTAACGTATACAGCTTCTCCAGGAACAAATAGTGAAGGCTTAGCATGATTTCTTGTATCATGGTAATATTTATATCTAGCTGGCCGATCCTCTAACTTACTTTTGACATTACTAAAGTTATTATCTATACAAAAATCATCAATTGAGGGTAAAAATGCATTTATATTTCGTCCAAATACTAACTCACTTGGAGACTTTCCTATGTCATGGTCAATTGGGGTATTTCTGTACTCCATTAAAGCTATGTAAGGATCTAAACCAGAAGCTTTAGCCTTTTTAAGCATACTTTTACAAGTTTGTACATACCTTTCAACCATCCCATTTGACCTTGCATAGTAAGGGCTAGACGTTTTGTGTGCAAACCTCCAATCTCTGGAAAACTGTTCAAATTTATAATTTGCAAATTGGGGACCATTGTCCGAATATAAACAACAAGGTTTTCCATAGCGTGCAAAATTGGACTTTAGGGCTAAAATAACACACTCAGACGTTTCATATTTCAATTCTTTGAGTTCAATAAACTTGCTAAAATAATCAACCATGAGTAAAAATGACTTATTATCAAAATAAAAAATATCCACTCCCACTATCTCCCAAGGTTTTTCTGGGCAATCTCTCAATAATAAATTTTCAAACCCATGGGTTTTTTGAAATTTCAAACAGATACTACAATTTTTAATTAAATCAGCAATTTCTTTGCCCATGTGTGGCCAAAATAGTATCTTTTTAGCCCTAGCCTTGCATTTTTCAATACCTAAATGATTAATGTGAATTAAACCTAACATTTCCTTTCGTAAGGACTTTGGAACAACAATACAAAAATCTTTAAATAATATACCATTCACTACAAACAGAGAATTTTTAACTGAATGGTAAAACTTTAAATTGTCTGGAATTTTGTCATAATCTGGCCATCTGTCTTGAACATAAGACATAATAGTAACCAACTCAGGGTCAATGCTGGTCTCTGATTTAAATAACTCTATTTTAGAAATAGAAACAGGAAGATTATCTATCATCATACATACATGAACTTTCACTTCATCATCAACATTTCCAAGACTAGCATTGTCCTGAAAATTCTCCTTTGAAAATGATCTTGAGAGAGCATCTGCCAGAAGTAAATCTTTGCCTGGTTTATATTTAACCTCCAAATCATAAGGCTGTAATCTCAACCGTAGTCTCTGCAATCGTAAAGGCGTATCTGAAAGAGATTTTTTAAAAATCATTTCTAATGGTTTGTGATCTGATTCCACAAGTATTTTTTTACCATACACATATTGGTGGAATCTTTCACAACCATGA